GTAGGATAAAATGCGAAAAGTAGAACGTAAAATGGAACATTGAATTTTGGCGGGGATGGAACGCCATAGGGTTTTAGAGAAAAAGGTGAATGAAACACAGGTATCAAAAACTGTGTTCAGCCACCTTAATATTCTGAATGACGTACTTTTTTATTCCTATAATGTCAATGCCTTGTAAGGGTAGACAGGTGCCGAGAATAAATTAAATCAATATATACATAAATTTATAATATAATATAAATAAATTAACGTAATTAATGCGTGGATTCTAAAAATTCGAATGTGAACTAAAAATAGGCTGTGAACTTTGTTCATAATGTTCCCATTTGTCTTTAGCGTAAGTTCATCGGGTGTGTTCCACTATCCGGTAGGGATTTCAGCCACTGAATGCATTTTTGTCTGTAGTCCTGGAAGTAGAATTCTCTCTCCACAGAAATTGCTCGAGAATATTTCCCGGCATCTTTGTTTGTCGTCAAAGGTGCTTTCTTGGGTACCTCTATTTTTCTTCGAATTTGCGACTTTCTAACTTGGATACCCTTAAGCTTTGTGTTTTGCCCTGTGTTAGTAACTTTTCCTTGCCCTGTAATCTGTGCTCTTGTCTTCAAACTGCTATCGGCCTTTTTAACTCCATTGAGCCTTTCATTGAATGGTAAAACTCTGCCCAGCCACTCAGAATGTTGTTTCAGCAGAAACGTGGCATTTTCGTTCAGCCGTCGCTTACCAGGACTGCCTGCGGCCGTTTTCTCCTTATTTGGCGTTATAGTTTCCCCTACGCTCTGTTGGTCCACCCCTGCATTTTGCCGTTGTTCAAGCAGCGGACTACGCCAGGCGATCTTTTGCCGAGAATTGGGACTATGGACATTTTTGGCGGGAATGACCAACGACCACCTGACTTGTGGTAATTCCAAACTTTCATGCGTTCCACTTTGTCTAGTCCCACTCTTTGGTGGGTCTGAAACTTTCCGAGGTGTAAAACCTTCATCTTTATAATCGAGTGATATTATGGATTTCTGAGCCAGGGAAGGCATGCTGCCAAATTTTCTTGTGAGTGGCATTGTTAGAAACTCTCTTGAAGTTGTCATCGTCAGCTGAGCTGTGCGCTTTTGACTGAAATAGAAACGTATATAGTGAGCAAAGCTTTTAACAAATCTAAAGACCAAAGAGGTTTAAACTTGATTTTTAGTTAGAGAATTACAAAAGCAAGTTAACGCTATTGTCCCCGCCTGGAAGGCTAATCCGGCACAGGTTTTCTCCAACATTTATTTCAGGGTGCCTGGTAGTTTTATTTGCAGCAACCAGTTTCTATTTGCGGGCGGAGAGGGGCATTGTGAGGGTTATGCTGGCCTGTGTCTTGTGCAAGACTAAAAACACGGGGCTCGAACCTGGACCAGTAGACTCTTATGGAATAACTGACGACTACAGTTTATGGTGTTACAATCAATCCGGATGTTATTTTCTGCGTAGCCTTGCAATTTTAAAACGCAATGTTCCAATAGTCGTCCCAATTCTGATTAGCAGTTTGCTGGAGCAATTTCAACCTGCAAATTCAGTCTTCTGAAGGAAAATTTATGACGACTGGTATATTTACCCACAGTTCTTCTTGACAACACTCATAACCACGTACAGAAAAGTTCTAAAACCTTCAAACTTAGCTTACTCAATGTCGTTATAGTACAGGTACAAATATTTTTTTTAAAAAAAAAGGCTTTCCTTGAGCCTAATGGGCTATGTTGCACTGTGGGTTCGCAAGGAATTGTGGTTAACGTAAAGCCACAATCTTTTCTTACGAAGGATTCAAATTCTGCCTCGAGCAAGTTGCTATCAGTAATATTGGCGGTTTGTACAAGTTCCGGCTTCACTTTTTAATTTTACTGCTCTGTCAGAGGGAAATTATCATTGTCCTTCGGTCGACTGTTTACCAACAGACTGCACGAAAGTCGTGACAGGTCCGCGTTCATGTCGCCAAATTGGGAACTGCACCTTGAAAGTGAAAGTATATTACTGCGCCTTTCAATAACATGCGGACTCTAAAATTTAATCAAATGTTCGGCGGCTCCTCCCAGCTTCCGACTACTGCCGTGCACTGTGAATCTTCTAACACATCCGCCATGTTGTCTGAACTATGCTCGATGATTTGATTACCGCTCGCTCCGCAGTAGTCGGAAGCTGGGAGGAGCCGCCGAACATTTGATTGACGGTAGCGAAAAACATTTGTTGGTTGAGCTTTGAATTTTAGAGTCTGCTTGTTATTGAAAGGCGTAGTAAGGCGCGGCTCGCCTTTTGGAAAGAACATCCGGCTTCTAAGGCTAACAATTACATTTTGAATTTTTTACGGCTAGCGGTTTATTAATTTTTTTCTACGGTTAAGAGAATCTAAGAAAACAATTACCATTATTTTCAAAAGTTTAAATTTAATTTTCAATGTTCACAAAAAAATATTTTGACTACTGTAAAACAAAGGTCTTCGGACCACTCCGGGAAGGGAAAAAAACTATGAAAAGAATTTTAGACCAATACAGCTTACCACTTCAGTACGACAAGGCAAAAAAAAAAAAAAAAAAAAATTCAAGTTTTATTGAGACTCTCACTTTCGCGGCAAAAACTGTTTTACGTTCAACAATTTTACGGCCAACGGTTAAAATTTTCAAAAGTTTACGCTCAGCGGCTAAACTTTTGGCCCGTTTTACAGCTAATGGTTAACCCTATTGAGACCCTGTTCCACTCTACCTACTGATGGAAGCTTAGCGTTGTGATAAGCCTCCCGGGACATTAGTAGAGCTTCCCAATTTGTGTAGCGCTTTACCAAAAAGAAACACATCAATGAAAAATAAATCAATGAAGCAACAGCAGTTCTTAAACAAACCTTAATGAATTTCCAAAATCTCATATATTCCATTTAGTCAACTTAACATTTCCTTAAAAGGTGGCTTGTAGCCGCTGTTTACTTCATAATTAATTAAAAAAAAATAAGTTGTTTTAATTCACTTGTGATCTATTTAAATTACGCCGAGAAATAGGTTGGCGATAAAGTCAAGAAAAAAGGTCCGAAGCTAGACCAAAATATATATATATTTTTTTTCTTTTCAAATTTTTGCAGTTTTGCTGTATTTACATTTATGCATTAAATATACTGTAAAATAATTTGAGATGGCATGGAGCGATGTTTTTCCGCGGTAAAATAATTAAACTAACCATTTCCTCGTTTGCATAAATTTAATCTCCTCATATCTAATGCTTGCGAGAACGTCTATGAAATTAACTGAGCCTAATCCACTTCGGCTTACTGTAAGGAAATGACATCCAATGTAAATGTGTTCTTTTTGGATCTGTAAGGTATCTTTAGTTGTTAAAGTATATTGCATTACAAAATGAAAGTCAATACGTAAATCCTTCAACTGTGTTGTGAGCTTAAAACTTTCCAATTAGCGGATACCACAGCTTTTTCCTACAAGAATATTATTTTAGCAGTAATTTAAGATATATTTTACTTGCACCCTGCCAGTTCAGGTAAACACAAATGCCGCCTGCGCTGTTTTTTTTCCATTAAATTTATGATGTGACATCCATGATTCGAATCTGAGTGCAATTTCGTGTACTGATGTTACCTCAAATCTTGCTACTTCGACAGGCTAATTTTCACTGATTTACTGTCCACAAGAAAACGATAACCTTTCATTATACTTTCAACCTACCCCGCGGTTGAGCATGGTAATATTAAAAATATAGTTGTGGTCAATTTGTTGGATTTTTTTTTTTTTTTTGCGTTTAAATAGGGGAACATGGTTTCTCTTAACAGTTCGATTCTTTTTTTTTTTTTTTTTTTTTAGAAACTAGATAAATGTTTTATGTGTACTTTTCTGAAACAAATATTTTTGTTAATTTTATNTTTCCTATATGAGTATGGGGCTCCGCTTGGCGGCCCTTGGGGCCGCCGGAGCTCCGCTACCAAAAATTTAGACGTTTGGACCAGGTTGTTCGAAACGTATTCAGAAACATTGATTTCTTTTTTTTTTTTTTTTTTTTTTCGCGTGTGTGTATTAATGACTGAAGATTCAAACAAAGACAATGACTTGTCAGTTTTTCTTACCGTTCGAGGTAAGTTCTGTCACGATGAAGAATCCCACGTTGTTTGCTGTTGCAGGTTTCTGTAAGATGAATTCTTTTCACGTATTCCGTTTTCCAGTCGTTATATCTTCCTTGTTAGTAAATTCTGAAAGAAACGGACTCAAGAACTCGCCAATTTTTGTCGATTTTCTCAAGAACCTCCCCGCTACAAAAAGCTGTTTACAACACTGCTGGTTTTTAAGCCATTCCAACTCATTTGTCAGTTCCTCTGCGTCACAGCGGAGGCGGTTCATTAAGGTTCAAATCATTTATTTAGTCCATAATGTCATTGGCAATTTGCCGAGCCTCTAAAATTGCAAATGGATTAAAATAGAAAACATTACTTACGTGCACGACAAAACAGATCCGAACATGGTGTTAAAATCAATGGCAAAGCGGCTTGGCATTACACCTGCAATGGTTGTTTCGAGAACACAAAGATCCTTTTATCAAGGCTTCCGTGTTTTTTTAGCAACTTGTTTCGTGAGTTTTCGACGAATACGTGCGTTGTTTATATATTCTCCAAGGCGAAAACTCCTCAAATGCGTCATAGCATTGTTTCAACACAGTGGCGGAGTTCTTTGTTATGAATCGTGTCCAACCTGGTTATGTCTGCCGCAGTGAAGATTTCAGATTTCTCCCGCAGGTTCTAAGGTGCTATTCGCATTTACTTTCTGTTGTTGAGGACTCAATTTCCATTGAATTTAATATATATCTTTATTCTTGTTACATAACTTTTCCCAGAGAAACACATTATAGCAAAGGCTCTAACATTTTTTTTGGTCGCTTTGGGACGTTTCGGCGATCTCTAAGAAGTATTTTACGTAGTCCATTTCTATAATCGGATTTCGTTACATTTAAAATCTTTTAGAACGAAGAAAAACATTAAAACAATGACACGGGTATTGCTGGGGAACCATTGTCAGTAGACCCAAAAGATAATACAGGTCATGATCAGTTTTGGAAGCAAGCGTTTTGTCTCAAGTAAACTCCCTCTTCCTGCTTAACAACAAATTTAACTTTGTGAGATTCTTAGTCAAACTCAAATTTGAGGTTTTAGAATATAATAGGCGTCGTATTAACTGAACATGCGTCATTAACCTGTACAGGAAAATTCTACTTGGCAGCTCGGTCAGTAACTTCCCATACAGACCTTCCGGTCTATTCATGTTACCGTAAACATGAACTTGGCCGAAAAACTTGAATACATTACCTTGTACTTTTGCAGTTGCCTGCCATTTTGCTTTTCATTATTTCTACAGGTTTGTAAATACGTGGAAACGTGAAAATAATTGTCAAGCCTTGCTGAAATATCTACACGGGTCTGAAGCAAAATTACAGGACTCTCTCTCATTGTAGTTTGACCCAGTTTGCTATTTGCATGTTAATGTGTCATACAAAATGTTGCAGCTAGAACGCTAGGCTTTCCCGCTTATCTGGATAAAGGTGCTAAAAAAAAAATTAGAGAAAAAAAACTAACCTTTTCATTTACTGAAACAGTTTGCAAGGAGGAGAAAATAAATGGGCTCCATGCGATTAATTTCAACCATAGTATAATATTGTCATATTCTTATCAAATTCTTTAAACTGTACATTTTATCAGTGATGCGTCAGCAAACGTTTAACCACGTTAAATTTAATTTAAAAATGAGTATTAATGCCGAATTTGAGGCAAGCAGTTGCATCAAGCGAGGTGCCAAACCTATTTTACCTGCCAAAAGGATCCCGTTTGTTTTTGTTCCGCGAAAAGAAAAAAATACTACGTGAGTGCTCTCCCCTATGACATTTTTTTTTTTATCTTTAATTAGAGTGACCAGAATTTAGTTTGATCTACGATATTTTTTTTTAGTAATTCGACAAAAGATAAGCAAAATCTCCAGATAATTAGAAAATATTTACTGAAGTTGTCAAACTTTTCGACACTGAGACATATTAGTATTTTAGAACTTTGGCAATAACCATACAAACTGCAAAACGTCGCTGCTAATTTTGCATCTGGTGTGTGGGAGGTGAACAACTTCCTTCGTTTTGTTACATAATCAAGAAGAAAGAAAAGAGGAGGGAAAAGGCAATTCTAGAAGTCCAAAGAATTTTGCTAAGGAGAGGCACATGAAAACATTTGTCAGCGAAAAATTAAGATATATAATGAAACCTAATGAAGTAAGAGCTTAATCTGAAGCCGAAAATTTTCGTTGAATATGAAAAGAAATGACAGAAATGAGAGAAATGATTTAATTGTATGCGTGGAAGTTTTCTTTCAACCTACCCCTAGAATTTTCCAAGCTTTTGAAATACTCCGCACGAACGTGTACTGATTTCTCAGGTAAAGCTATCTCTCAATATGCCCTCACCTACATGTATCTACTTAGGGTTATAAATTTAGTTATATTCAGCGTTTTCAAGTCCTAGAACCATTTCTTTGTCCGAGGGCACCAGTATGGCCGAATGATCAAACTGGTCTCATTGCTGCAATTTCAATGAATCAAACGCGTGCTCTCATTAGCTGTCTCTTAGTCACGTTGAAATGGCTTTATCATTGGAACGCGCTGGACTACAAAGTTTTAGTCAAGTTAAGAAACGGAGCTCCTATAAAATACTAATCATCTGCTAGACACAACAGCCTATAAATAAATTCACCAATAGGCATTTCACCAAACTGAATGAGATGAACTAAAATAATTCAAGTTCAACATTGTTCGTGCTAAAGCATAATCTTAAAATTATTTTTGCCGACGGCTTTGTAGTCATTGTAACGGTCGTGGCTTTGCCGGACTTTTAAAGAAATTCACCCAAGCATTTCACCAAACCGAATAAATTAAACAAACAAAACGAGGAAATATCCATGTTTTGTGCAAGCAATATGGACAGGGTCGAAAAGGGGTTAAGGCCTGCCTGGCGTCGGGCCTAAAAAGGCGGAGCTCCAGGGTTCCAAGGCAAAAACGTGGGGCTCTAGAGCTCCACGGCACCTCCGAGCTCCACTTTTCAGACTGTTATCTAATAGTCTACAGTTTCAATTTTCATCTAAAATGCAATCAGGGAATAAGCGAAATTCCAAATTAAGCGTTTTACCATCTTTGTTCAAGTAAAGGCTAAAGAGAAAACGTAATAAATGGCGGGAAAATAATGGTCACGTGGCTATTCCATAGGCCTTTCCACAAATATTACGTAAAATCGCCCAAATATCTTTTCATAAATTCAAAAAAATCTTCTAAATATCACCAAAATGTTTCCAGATATTCCGAAAAACCCTCTAAATATCTCTTATTTTTGTCGTAGAAACACAGATTTTGAGTCACTTAGCCAAAATTTTCAAAATTTTCTTGCAGTAGTAAGTGTTGAGGAAGAAGATTCAGGCACTTCCACGTTACCAGCAACCGCCATTTTGGAAAACTGCTGCTTTAGCCCCTCTAGTGATATGGAATACATTTTTTCGGGTGGGAAACCGCTAAACTGGATTGTTTCTGGCATAGTACTGGGTAGTGTTTCAAGTAAATAGCGAGGAGAACACAGGGCTAAGAAAAAAGAGCTATGAATATAAAAACAATAGCCTCAATTTGGCGAGAAAGTATGCTCTCTCTCGGATATTTTTCCGCGGACATTATCTATTACCTCTGAGGAACAGATAATATCCAAGGAGCCGAGGGAGTTAATAACTGCGTTTCGAAAATCCTGCTATGTCTTCCTCTCCGGGCACACAGGAAGAACTATGAGAAAATTTGCTTGACGTAACAGCGTGCCTATACAAACTGACAAGGCAAAGGCAAGGAAGACTGGGCACTAAAAACGATTGACTTTTAATTACTTTGGGCTCCGGGCTCCAAAACAAAACTTTCAGAGCATCGGTGCTGCTTACCTAAAAACTTCAGGAATCCAGACAGTGAAACGATCGGGCTCAGGGCTCCAGAGCAAAAAATCCAGGGTCCAGGGCTTCAGCTCCCCACCCCCCAGCCCCACCTCTTCCTTTTTGACCCGCGTGCAAATTACCACGTGCAAGTGTCAAATATATCAAATTCCGTTCGCTTTAAAAGCATTAAATGGTTTCTTGACTTTTCTTGGTTTCCAACCGTAACAGAAAAAGAAATTTTACCAGTCTGCGAAGCGGATGTCTCTACTAACATAAAGTATTTTCAAATACAGTTTTAATTGTTTTTAGACAACATAAGTGTTATATTGGCGAAAACCGACAGAAAACCATTTGTTTAAAATATACAACTCACAACAACTTTGAAAAAGCAGCTCAAGTGATATTGTCGGTGTTTTCTAGAGATAAGCGAA